GTGATGGGGTGACTAGTGACAGAGTGCGGGAGTGGGTGACTAGTGACAGAGTGAGTGGGTGACTAGTGACAGAGTTAGGGAGGGAGTGACTAGTGACAGAGGAATGATGTGATCACCTCCCTCACTCTGTCACTAGTCACCTTCCCTCACTCTGTCACTGGTCACCTCACTCTAGTGACAGGTGAGGGAAGAAGGGGTGTGACTAGTGACAGGAGAAAATGATGACTAGTTGACAGTATTAGGGAGGAAGGGTGTTAGTGACAGAAATGAGGAAAGAATTTGATAGTATTTCAGAAGGAAAGATGATGACAGTATTAGTATTTCAATCACCACCTCCCTCACTCTGTCACTAGTCACCACCTCCCTCACTGTGTCACCCCCTCCCTCTGTCACTGGTCACCCACTCCCTCCCTCACTCTGTCACCAGTCACCCCTTCCTTCCCTCTGTCACTAGTCACCCCTTCCCTCACTCTGTCACCCCCTCACTCTGTCACCCCCCTCACTCTGTCACTAGTCACCCCCTCACTCTAGTGAAAGAGTGAGGGAGGGGGTGACTAGTGACAGAGAGAGGGAGGGGGTGACTAGTGACAGTGAGGAAGGGTGTGACTAGTGACAGAGTGAGGGAGGGTGTCTATTGACAGAGGAGAAGAGGGAGGTGACTAGTGACAGTGAGGAAGAATGTCCTGAGTGACAGAGAGGGTGACTGGTGACAATCCTCCTCCTTCACTCTGTCGCTGTCACACACCTCCTCACTCTGTCACTGTGCCTTCCTCCACTCTGTCACTAGTCACCTCTCTCTCACTCTGTCACTAGTCACCCTCCGTCACTGAGTGAGAGTGAGGATGACTACAGTGACTTAGCAGAAGTGAGAAGAAATGACACAATGACAAGAAATGAGAAAGGTGACAAGAAACAGAAAAAGGAGGAGTAGTGACAGGAGAGGAGTGACAGAGGAAGTGGTGACTAATACTCACCACCTCCCTATAATACTGGTCACCCTTCCTTCCCTCACTCTGCCACTGGTCACCTTCCCTCACTCTACTTTAAAGCAACCTCACTAGTGACAGATTGAGGGAGTGACAGAGAGAGGGAAGGGGGTGACTAGTGACAGAGTGAGGGAGGGGGTGACTGTCACTAGTCACCCCATCCCTCTCTCTGTCACTAATCACTCCCTCCTAACTCTGTCACTGTGTCACCCCTTCCCTCACTCTGTCACTAATCACCCCTCTGTCCTTAGTGACAGAGTGAGAGAGGGGGTGACTAGTGACAGAGTGAGGAAGGGGGTGACTAGTGACATAGTGAGGGAGGGGGTGACTAGTGACATAGTGAGGGAGGGGGTGACTAGTGACAGAGTGAGAGAGGGGGTGACTAGTGACAGAGAGAGGGAGGGGGTGACTAGTGACAGAGTGAGGGAGGGGAGGGGGTGACTAGTGACAGTCACCACCTCCTTCACTCTGTCACTAGTCACCCCCTCCCTCACTCTGTCACTAGAGTGAGGGGGTGACAGAGTGAGGGAAGGGGATGACTGGTGACAGAGTGAGGGAGGGGATGACTGGTGACAGAGTGAGGGAGGGGGTGACTGGTGACAGAAGAAGGGAGGGAGTAGTGACAGAAGGAGGGAGGGAGTAGTGACAGAGGGAGGTGGTGACTAGTAACAGTCACCACCTCCCTCACTCTGTCACTAGTCACCCCTTCCTTCCCTCACTCTGCCACTAGTCACCCCTTCCCTCACTCTGCCACTAGTCACCCCTTCCCTCACTCTGCCACTAGTCACCCCTTCCCTCACTCTGTCACTAGTCACCCCCTCACTCTAGTGACAGAGTGAGGGAGTGACAGGTGACAGAGTGAGTGACTAGTGACAGAGTGAGGGAAGGGGTGACTGTCACTAGTCACTAGTCACTCCCTCCTAACTCTGTCACTGTGTCACCTGCTCCCTCACTCTGTCACTAGTCACCCCCTCCCTCACTCTGTCACTAATCACCCCCTCTGTCCTTAGTGACAGAGTGAGAGAGGGGGTGACTAGTGACAGAGTGAGGGAAGGGGTGACTGTCACTAGTCACCCCATCCCTCTGTCATTAGTCACTCCCTCCTAACTCTGTCACTAGTCACCCCCTCCCTCACTCTGTCACTAGTCACCCCCTCCCTCACTCTGTCACTAGTCACCCCCTCCCTCACTCTGTCACTAATCACCCCCTCTGTCCTTAGTGACAGAGTGAGAGAGGGGGTGACTAGTGACAGAGTGAGGAAGGGGTGACATAGTGAGGGAGGGGGTGACTAGTGACATAGTGAGAGAGGGGGTGACTAGTGACAGAGTGAGGGACGGGGTGACTAGTGACAGAGAGAGGGATGGGGTGACTAGTGACAGTCACCCCCTCTCTCACTCTGTCACTAGTCACACCCTCGCTCACTCTGTCATTAGTCACCCCCTCTCTCACTCTGTCACCAGTCATCCCTTCCTTCGCTCACTCTGTCATTAGTCACCCCCTCTCTCACTCTGTCACCAGTCACCCCTTCCTTCCTTCACAATGACAGAGTTAGGGAGGGAGTGACTAGTGACAGAGAGAGGGATGGGGTGACTAGTGACAGAGAGAGGGATGGGGTGACTAGTGACAGAGAGAAGGATGGGGTGACTAGTGACAGAGTGAGGAAGGGGGTGACTAGGGAGAGAGGGGGTGATTAGTGACAGAGGGAGGGGGTAACACAGTGACAGAGTAATGGGGTGACTAGTGACAGAGTGAGGGAGCGGGTGACACAGTGACAGAGTTAGGGAGGGAGTAACTAGTGACAGAGAGAGGGATGGGGTGACTAGTGACAGTCACCCCTCCCTCACTCTGTCACCAGTCATCCCCTCACTCTGTCACTAGTCACCCCTTCCCTCCCTCACTCTGCCACTAGTCACCCATTCCCTCACTCTGTCACTAGTCTCCCATTCCCTCCCTCTGTCACTAGTCTCCCCCTCTCCTTCCCTCTGTCACTAGTCTCCCCCTCTCCTTCCCTCTGTCACTAGTCACCCACTCCCTCACTCTGTCACCAGTCACCCCCACTCACTGTGTCTCCCCCTCACTCTGCCACCACTCAACCCCTCACTCCCTCACTCTGCCACCAGGTACCCCCTCACTCTGCCACCTGTCACAACCTCCCACACTCTTCCACCTGTCACCTTCTCCCTCACACACTCTGTCACCTGTCACATATGTATTCACACAGACACTATATACAAAAAAGCACATGTAGTCATCCAGACATGCACAAGTGCATTCACACAGACTCAAATACAAACATGCATTGATACACAGGTATTCACAATACACACATCCAAAGGAATGCCGTATTATGAATTATATTTAACATTTATTAAAATGCACATATATTTGGCCTTCAAAGGGCCTGGGATCTAATTTTGCCCGGGGGCCCCAAAGGCTCTCAGTCCGCCCCTGCTAGAGGGCACTTCCTGCATCATAGAACACGCTGTGTGAGGACCTCCAGCGTCGGTCATTCTCTTGATTAGGCTGTCACAAAGTAGAATAATGGAACTATGAAGCTCTGCTCACCACAAATTGTATGGACTGCTTTCAACTGTCTTAGAGGGCTATAACATGTGGAGAAAGCTACACAGTCAGTATAAATATGTAATATTCTAATACTACAAAGCAAATGGTTTTCAAAACCGTTTGGAGCAAGCACAAGAACCTCCAGTGTGTTTGGCTCCCACCATACATGCAATAAACTATTTTTGTAATAGTGGAGTAATACTTTGTTTGTTGTGACAGTACTTTATTTTGCACATTTTGTGTTAGTACATTAAAAATCTGCACTTTGTATATAAACTTTTTGTGTTTTCTGTGATTTGACAAAGGTCCTGTTGGGGGCCGAAACATTGTTTTTATTTTTCTCCAATAAATCTGCCCATCATTACTTTTTTGCTTTTAACAGAAGCCTTGGATTAATATACTCTCACAAGCTATTGGTTTGTTTTATATTGTGAATAGTGAAAACTTACTTTCAGTGCTGTCGTCATCATCATCATCATCGTCCGTGTATAAGATGGGTCCATCAGAGTCAGAGTCGCTAATCTGGCTCTCTTTGCATTCGCTGTCAACATCGGGATTCAGAGAAGTTTCTGAAGGATCATCTGTCGTCTCCTGACTTACAAAACTTGTATTGTCCTCCTGGTTCTCGACAGGGACCTCACTATAAGGAAAAGTAACACAACACATGGTGATTTGTAGCATGGAGAATAACATTTCACTATGATCTCAGTGAGAATACATAGTAAATACATAAATCATAATATATAGATTAGATTTAATAATACTACTACAAACATACCATAAGTAAAAAAATAGTCAGTAATCCCCACAATAATATGTTTTGTAGTCTGTAGTGGTATTGCATACCCCAGTACAGTGAAGACTAATAGGACAGGTTTTTCAGCATGTACTATAGTACTATTAAATGATGTATTACTGAACCTGGGTGCCCAAGTTTCAGTCCCCAAGTTTATGAATATAATTTGAGTCTCTGTAAAAATAATAATATACAGAGAGTATACTACTGGTTCGTACCTTTTTTTTCTATAAACATATAGGAACCTTTACTTTATCTTGGCTTACTCCGACCAAAATATTTAAATATGTTTTTAGAATTCTATTATCTTACTTATACTTCGTTCCAACTTTAACAAGGAAGAGAAACATTATCTTTTAACTTCACAAGTGCTCCAGTGGAAGATCTCTTGATTAGGTGCAGTTAACACATTTAAATTGCAAGTTACAATTACCATGACCTTGATTCAAGAACCTTTCCTAATGATTTAATACTGTAAGAGAAACGTTCCAAATTATTTATATACAGAAGGGAATTTCTGTAGATAAATCATTTGGAAAGTTTTCCTAACAGTATTGAATCATTTGGAAAGCTTATTAAATTGAGGCATATATTCCATACTCTGAATAAAACTCTTTGTTGAGGTCTATTTCATATACATTTGCATTTTTGGTAAACCAGTTGTGACATTTTAACCCCTTATGAAAGTATGAGATTATCTTAACTATCTTAAAGAAGGGTTAGCTTCGGTTTCTTGTAATATGCTTCACTAAATAGCATGGCTAAACCAAAAACAAACAACACTTATCTTAGTCAACAGACTATTACTACTATAGAGAATAATGAACATAACAATATATTCTATATCAGGAATGTTGTTGAATCATGCAGACACACTCATAGAATATAGTTTTTTTTTATATATGTGACATACATTGTCAATATACCGCTTAATTGTGGGGTCCTTAGTTATTGCGTGGATGTAGGGCAGGTTTTGTGTACCTCATTAGAATGGTTGCACAGTTGTATGACCTTTAAAAATACAAATGGAACCATAGGATCCTGATTTCTCAGCATACAATGATTGTACTGATATAGCTGATCTTACAGATTATTTGTCAACATTTATAAAATGCCAAGTGTTACCTTGGTGCCTTTTCTTCACTTGCATCTGTCATTTCTCCATCCTGTGTGGCAGGTTTGCTGTCTCCAGCATTTTGAAGCTGGTTCCGTTCAGAAATAGTGGTTTCCTGATCAGGTTTGCTGCCTTCAAGCTCTGAGTTTGGTACGTTAAGAAATGTTTTACCCAGATGCTTTAATGCAGGAGAAGTAGACTGTAGCTTTGAAGTAGTAGGCTCCTTAATGCTGATCTCTGGTGTTTCTTCGCCCAAGTGTTGTGGTGGCAGGTCTTTCTTTTCTGCTCTCTTTTGGGTTAGAGAATTAGTTGTGTGTGAGGATGTGTGTTGATGCTCCAACTCTATTGATCCAGAAGAAGATTTGCTGGGTAGCTTTTTGCCTCTTTGAAGGCTAGATGATACACTTTTGCTAGATACTTGGTCCTTTGAAGATTTAGACCGTGATGAAGAAGACACAGTAGTGGTTGAAGAAGTCTTTGTGGAACTCGACTTCTTAGTGTTGGAAGAAACACCTAAATCAATAAAAGACAAAACAATGGAAAAGCTGTTCAGTGAAATACTTTAATGGCTCCACTTTAATGGAGCCTTATCATTTATCTACAAATATGTAGGTTTTATCCATATAAATGACTAACATCTTATTTAGCCTATAGCATTAGGATGGATGCTTCAGAACCATAGATCAACAGTTACTCTATAGCATTCACATGTTCAATGTTTTACCTAAATTAAATATGATGTTTAAGTAAATATAACAAAGCATTAAAAAAAATTTGGCAAAGTATTGTAGCTTCTATGAATAGGTGGACCGAATCAATACCTGTCTGTGGAGACTATTTTCCTAAATGCACATAGATAAGAGTGTACTCTCTATTTTTATTATTATTTTATTATTTATATTGTGCCAGCAAATTTCATAGCGCTGTACAATGGGATGTACAGTAATTTTTGCCCATGTATATTCCTTGGTTTACAGTAAATTTTCCATGTAAGAAAAGTTAGTTCTGGAGCAGTGAAAAACAACTAATAGCTACAATGACAGATTGACAAAAGCTGCATTTACATCTCTTAAAGCCTTCTGATTTTATTTTGAATAAACTGGTGTATGCGTTCATTTGTCTGTGTGTATATTTCTAACCTTAATAAAAAGTAATTTGAACACAGTTTTCTTCATAATGCCTACTTCATTGAAAGTCTAAAGTTACTATTAGTGAACAAACACATATGTGTTACGTCAGTGTCAACTAAGGCCTCAATAGCTTTCCAAATGATACATCTACAGTACTCCCCATTAAAGTACATGATAATCTTTGAAGATAAACCATTTGGAAAGGTAAACCATTTGGACAGTATTGAATCATTTGGAATGCTTATTGAATTGAGGCCATATTTGGAACCTATCTCATTGACAAATGTGAAAGATAAATAAAGAACAACTGCAGAACATCCATCATGGAGTTTATTATACCAGATTACACTAGCGCAGACTTTCACAGTATCTCATTTTCACTATCTTCTGATCTTCTATACTAATCAGTCATTACATGTATATTCCTCCTTTGTCAATGCCGACAATTTTTCACATTCTAGATTACACTGAAGAGTCCACAATCAGTGGACAAACGCAGATCTCTACTTTTCAAGCTAAGAAACATGCTGAACAGAAGCTAACATTAAAGACACAATATGGACAATGTTATATCAGCCACAAAATATGAGGAGATACCATACAACTAGAAAAGATAAGTGTGTGAAAAGAAACACCACATGTACAGCTCCTTATATATTTTCGGATGACCTTTTGGAAGCCAGCTACTCTACGGTTGGATTTTGTGGCTCCATGTCCCCAGCTTTCCTGACATCTCTAGAGTCTTTTCACTTAACTAAGTTTTGTTTCACCTAGTTCATTTTGAACTGTAAATAAAATACATTGAGAGGAAGTGAGTACGAGAAGGATCTGC